TCAATATGTCCTATTACATTTGAGTCCCTAAAATAAGGGGACTGTGTATTAAAATGATTGCAACTCATAAATGTTTCATAAAATATTTTTGTTCAACCCCTTGAATTAAAGCTGAAAGTCTGCACTTAAGTTGCATCTCAGTTGTTTAATTTTAAATCCATTGTGGTGGTGTACAGAGACAAAATTATGAAAATCGTGTCAGTGTGCAAATATTTACGGACCTTACCGTATATATACACACACACACACAGTCTGGCTTCTGCCCCTCCACACCACTGAGACTGCTCTTATTAAAGTTCCTAACAACATTATCGCAGCTAAATCCAAAGTTCACTATTCCATACTAATTCTTCTTGACCTCTCTGCTGCCATTGACACTGTTGATCATGTTTTCCTTCTCCAAACTCTTCAATCACTTGGTCTCTATGACACTGTCCTTTCGTGGTTTTCCCCCTATCTCTATCAATGCTCATTCAGTGTCTGTTTTTTAATGATAACTTCTCCCTTGGACCTGTCTCAGTTGGAGTCCCCGAAGGCTGTGTTCTTGGTCCCCTTCTATTTTCTCTTTATACTGCCTCTCTTGTGAAACTTATTACCTCATTTGGATTCCAATACCACCTGTACGCTGATGACACCCAGATATACCTCTCCTCCCAGGACACCTCCCCTGCCGTCTGGCAATGTGTCACTTCTTGCCTTTCTTCCATCTCTGATTGGATGTTCTCCCACTTTCTGAAACTCAATCTCTCCAAAAGCTCCTCGTCTTTCCTCCTCCTAAGATTGAGCCTCCTCTCTCGCTCTCCCTTCAAGTTGGTGGTATCTATATCAGCCCATCCTTACAAGCGCATTGTCTTGATGTTATACTTCATTCTTGTCTCACCTTTGAGCCTCACATTCACCTTAAAACCATTGTCCGCAACCGCCCCTTTCTTACGTAAGACACTTCTAAGGTACTTGTTCATATGCTAGTAATCTCTTGCATTGACTATTGTCTTCCCAGAAGCCATACTGCCCCACTACAGGCTGTAATGAATGCTGCCGCCAGACTAATTTTCCTCTCCGGTCGCTCTTCTTCAGTCAGTCTGATAGTGGTAATATGTGGCAAGCTCTTAGAGACATATTCAAAGCGACATGGACCTGTGATTGCCACAAAAGGTGCCTCTACAAAGTATTGACTTTAGGGGGGTGAATAGTTATGCACATTGACCTTTTCTGTTATTTTGTCCTATTTGTTGCTTGCTTCACAATAATAAAAAAAAATCTTCAAAGTTGTGTGCATGTTCTGTAAATTAAATGATGGAAATCCTCAAACAACCCATGTTAATTCCAGGTTGTGAGGCAACAAAACACAAAAAATGCCAAGTGGGATGAATACTTTTGCAAGGCACTGTAGACCAGTGTTTCCCAACCCAGTCCTCAAGGCACACCTACCAGTCCAGGATTTAGGGATTACCCAGTTGTGTCTAAGGTGTTTTTACAAAGAAGAAAAAAAACACCTTAGACACAACTGGGTAATCCCTAAATCCTGGACTGGTAGGTGTGCCTTGAGGACTGGGTTGGGAAACACTGCTGTAGACTACCAGGTACGTTATGATGTAGACAACATTCTGAACACAGTGGTGTTACGATTCAGGTCAAATGATATCACATTTTAGTCATTTATAGTACATAGTTCCTGCACCCAGTGTGCAGTGCCAATAACATTCTTACTTATTTGACCTATAAGTTTGAGGAACAGATGATATTTTACATGCAGTAAAAATAAGATTGGAGCACCTGTTATATTTTCACTTTGGCAACCACCAATTTTGAGTACTGACAACATTTTCCCCTAAGAGACTCCCAGCTAACATTTCTAATGCCTAACCTAGTGACCCACTACCCATACATTGACTGAAGATCAAGTTGATGCCATCTATTGTAGCTTTGTCTGCATGCACTGATGCATCATTAAGAACTTCATAAATAGATTTTCCTGTCCTTTACATTCATGGCAGACATATCAACAATAATGATATAAACCTAGAAAATACATTAATTAATTTGATGCTGTAGCCTGTGACCAATGGTGATACTGTCCAAACAAATTATACTGATTTTGTGATGCAAGACTGAAAAATAGACCAGGTGGACACTTGACACAGCTTTAGGCTTGGCTATGCCATGTAAAATGATGTCAAAAAAGTATGGGTAAAAATTAGAATGTTAACTTTAGAGCCAGGATAAATTATTATTATTACTGGCATTTATAAAGTGCAAGCAAATTCCGCAGCACTGTGCATTTTGGAAAGGGCTCAAACCAATACAAAAGTTAAAAAGTGCCCCGCCCATAAGCGGAGTTCTCGCCATTAAAGGGATCCTCTGGGCACCTTAACAACTGCTTTAAATGAAATTGTTATGGTGCCAAGAGGTCCCTGGCTCTGGCTTACCACCAGGGGTTAAAATGTTCATGAACAGTTTAACCCCAAAGTCTCCTCTACGGTGCTGAATTGCTCTACCCTCTACAACATCCACTTGCTGAAAAGCTTGAAAAGGGAAACCTAGGTTTGCAGAGGGCAGGAGTGCCGCTGATTGGCTTTGTAGTGGTCAGCTGAGGCTTTCAGCTAATCAGTGGTTCCCCATTCACAAACCAGCCTGAGAAAGTTACGTATTTTTCTCAAGCTGTTTTTTGAATAGGGAGCCATTAGTTGGCTGAGAGCATCAGATGACTTCTCTAAGACAATCAACAGCGCACCTGCCTGAAGCAGTCCTAATTTTCCATTTTCAAAATTTTCTGCAAGCAGATGTTAGAAGGAGCAGATCTATCTAGCACTGGAGAGGAGACTTTCGGATTAAACCAATCATGAACAGTCATGAACAGGGACCTCCTGGCATCACATCAGCTTTATTTTCATGAAGCTGAAGCTATTCCTTTAAAATTATTTTATACATAGTACTTAGCTAGCCCCAAAATATCTCCCATATTACATCCAGAGAAATTATTTTTGCTTGGCATAAAGTTCCGAGATGTAATGTGGTGCTGAGTTTTTTTTATTTTTTTTTAATATTCCAAAACTCTGAAGTAGTCTCTGGGTAAATCTAGGTCAAGGTAAGTGGACAGATTACCAGGATTCCACAATTTGAAGTTGACAACTTTGCATTTCACGTAGATTTATCAAGACCTGAAAGTTTACATTTTCATTAGGTTCTAATAAGTTTAGAAGTAGAATAATATGACATTGTTGTTACATAGAATCTATGTGATATGACATCAGTACATTTATATTTTTTTGCCAGCACAAGAGCAGGTTATCTAGAAAATTTCCAGGTGAGTTTATTTCGTTGAGCTAGGGAAAAAGTCCAAAAACAGAGCTGTGCATTGCAGGGTTAATGCGTGGCCTGTGGTTTGATAAATGCGGCTCTCTCTATGACTCAAACCTCTTTCATTATGCTTGTAAAATGCTAGATTTCTGGGGGCGGGAGAAGGTTGCTTGAAGTAAATGCTTCACAGTTTGAGTATTGGGCACGTATCAATTCAAAGCATAATATGTGAGTGGATACATATGTATATGCAGGGATACAGAAAATATCACTAAACAAACAATGGCATCATCAATATACAGCTTGTGTGAGCTGGAATATCAACTCAAAGTTTTATCTATATTTTATCTTTCTATGTTTATTAATGGTTCTGCACCTGCGTATGTGTGTACTAAAGTAGAACATGATGCTGTGTACAAACAGGGATACATTTGTGTAATATTCATATGTTGTCCATTATTGCTGTCTGTAGGGACAATCATTGTTTAATTAATCAATTGATGGTCAGCACTTTTCATGTATCAAATATACAGTGTCTGTATTCTGAATAGTTAAGATGGCAACAAATAGATTGGGTTACAAAGACTGCATGCAAAGAAATCAGTTTTCTGCAATAGGAAATTAGCAGGACAAGGCATATATAAACAGATACTAAAAGGACCATTATACAGCAAAAAGGTGGAAATTAAAATGAATTGGGCACTTCAAGCTGAAACTAACCTATTCCTTTTTTAATGCATTATATAGAATAAAAATCTAAAAATATCCATGCAAAAACAATGCAATTCAAAATAAAACATAAAAATATGCTCATATTTAGATGTTAAGTACTTGTGTTTGTTATACCTCCATAGGTAATGCCCTGTAGATAATGGAAATCCATAACATTCTTTGACAGTGCCAAGTTTATCCCGTAACTCCCTGTAAAGCAATGTCTTGTGGTGAAAGCAGCGAAATCTAGAAGCATGTTTTTAGCTTTCTACACGATACTATGTGACTCAGGTAGAACCAAGTAATCTGTTGGTAATGGCAAAGGGATAAGGCTTATAGCTATAGACATTTCAGGGGGGTTATGTATATATAAAAAACAAAATACATTTGTCCCTGGTGCCTTTTCTATTTGCAACAATTTACTCTTATATTAGTCTTAAATGTATGGCAAAAAAATCTTACTGTGCCTTTCTATCATTTTATATTTGTTTTGGTTAACGTTTGCATTTTTTTTCCTTTCATTAATTAGTTACTTACAAAGTATTAAAGAAAGGTGCAAAAATGTGCCATTTCTTTCAGCATATTTCCCAGTACTTTTAGATTAGTTGTTTTTTTTTGTGACAGATGAGAAGTTTTTACATCCCTCCTTATTTGGATGTACACTACTGTGCATGTTTTAGGCAGGTGTTAAAATGCTTTAACTAGGAAGAATGCTTTCAGAAATAGAAACGTTAAGGGTTTCTACAACCCTTATTTTTTTAGAAAATGCTGGACTTGATGCCGGGTTAGGGTTTCAGGCAGGACCCGCTGGAGATATCATGGCTGCTCGGGCCCCAGAGAAGCCGTTACCGGTCAAGACGTGAGAGCGCTCCAATGGAAACACATAGGAGGTGGTAGGGAAGAACAAAGGAAGTGATAATAGTCTTTTGTGAATAGTATAACAGAGTCCTGCACCAGTTGTCCTGGGAAAAATGCAGGCTCTGCCACAGGCTTCATTCAGTGTGGGAGGAACGATACATGCCTCCCCTTGCACAGAATAGACATTTAGCAGCTCAGAACAGAGTTCTAAGCTGTCTAAGTTATGTGTGCCAAGGGTGCAACTGTCACGACCTGTTCTGTTCTGTTCAGATGTCTGACCTTGGCTTCTGGTATCCAGTACTCTTTTTACAATTCTTGTTTAGTTTTTCTGGTTTTCTATTCTCTGTCTGGTTTTCTTTATGCTGGGTTTTCTGGGTTTATTCCTTTATTCCGTTCCTGGAATTTCCAGTCTCATGGATTCCTTTAAATGTTTGTTTTCTGTTGCCACATCTATTCCTTTGCCATTAATCCTTTTTTGTTTGTCTGTTCCTGCAGGCAGTGGTTTCATTTCCTCTGCTCCTTTCTTTGCAGGTAAGTACTGTGTGTGTTTTATTGTTTATTTAGTCATGCATATCTAGGCAGTTAGGACCCACCGTAATTGGAGTACTTTGGCAAAGTGGTGGGCTGCATACATCTTGGCCATTTATGTATGTCTAAATCTCCAATGTTTATTACACATATAGTACTTAGTTATGTCTCCTCTTGTTTTGCCTTGTATCTCTTGTCTTGTTTTATTTGTCTTGTATTCCCAGTTCATTTACAGTCCTGTCCTGTCCATGTTTCCCTCATGTATTGTGTACATGTTCTGGGTTCTGCTTTCTGTCCTGCTCCGGTTCTGGGTTCTTCTATTCTTGTCTTGTTTTCTTGTTTGGTGCCTGTTCTAGTTTTACCTTGTTTCTAGTACTGGATACTTATCTGCTTAATATCAACTCCTGGCTTCTGCTAGCTGCATCAGGGCCCTGGTATGTGGCCACACAAACCCTGGTGCTCAATGCCAGAGTGTGTGGTTACCCTGCACCGGGCCCTGATTGTCCACTTCCACGCTGAGACTCCTATCATCAGGCCCGGACTGGCCATCGGGCACACCGGGCAAATGCCCGGTGGGCCGCGGTGGCCACGGGCCGAGGCCGGCAGGGGAGATCTGAGGACATCCCCTGCCGGTCTATGCGGCGGCCGCGTTTGAGCGCATGTGGGCCGGTGAGGGAGATCTTTGATCTCCCCACCGGCCCTTCATGAAACACAGCGGGGCCGGCGCTCGGATAGCGCCGGCCCCGCTGTGTTTCATGAAGGGCCGGTGGGGAGATCAGAGATCTCCCTCACCGGCCCACATGCGCTCAAACGCGGCCGCCGGCGGGGAGAGAGGGAGGGAGACAGCCGCCAGGAGAGAGGACCCGGTGGAGCTCTAACTTGCAGCTCCGCCGGGTCCTTCTCGCGAGATCCGGACCATTGCTATGGCAACCGGCCGGGTCTCGCGAGAGTGAACTCTAGCCCCAAAGGGCTAGAGTTCACTTACCACGAGGACCACCAGGGATGGCTGGCAGCAGCACGACCCCCACCCCCCCTTCCAGACTACAGGTAAGAATAGAGGGGGGGGGGTAATATAATGTATTTATTATTATTTATTTATTAGTATGTGTTATGTATTTATTATTATTATTTATTATTATTTGTATTTATTAGTATGTATTTATTAGTATGTATTATTATGTATTTATTATTATTTATTATTATGTATTTATTAGTATGTATTTATTAGTATGTATTATTATGTATTTATTATTATTTTTTATTATGTATTTATTAGTATGTGTTATGTATTTATTATTATTTATTAGTATGTATTTATTAGTATGTATTTATTAGTATGCATTATTATGTATTTATTATTATTATTATTTATTATTATGTATTTATTATTATTTGTTTTTATTATTATGTATTTATTATTTTTTAGTAAAACACCTACCTGCCTCCCCCAATACAAAATCCTTACAAACACACACATCACCCTCACCCAGCACCCTAACACATACACAGCACCCTAACACACACACAGCACCGTAGCACTCACACAGCACCATAACACCAGCACCCCAACACACACAGCACCCTAACCCCAGCACCCTAACATTGACACATCACCCTAATACACACACAGCACCGTAGCACTCACACAGCACCCTAACATACACACAGCACCGTAACACTCACACAGCACCATAACACCAGCACCCCAACACACACAGCACCCTAACACCAGCACCCTAACACACACAGCACCCTAACACATACAGCAACCTAGCACACACACACACACACATCACCCCAACACATACACAGCACCCCAACACATACACAGCAACCCAACACACACATCACCCTCACTCACACATCACCCTCACTCACACAGCACCCTCAAATGCACAGCGCCTCACACACAGAGCCCTAACACACACATACTGCACCCCCTCAGCCATATACTGCACCCTCCCACACACATACTGCACCCCCCCCACACACAGCACCCTCCCACACACACTATACTCCTCACAAATGCACACTACACCCCTCACACACACAGCACCCCCCAAACACACTGCACCACTCACACACTCACTAGATCTCCTATACGAACTCCTGAGTCCTTCAAACACACACTAGATCCCCTACACACAGACGCTGCACCACTTACACACACACTACATTTCTGACATACACACTCAGGATCCCCTATGAACACACTAGATACCCTTTAAGCAAACACATAGTGTCTCCATAAATGGGATACAGTGAGTATTCCAATTATGGAAACCCCTGAGATAAGTTTCAAGCAAACACAATGCAAGCATGTTATTAAATTTGCTTGCGCTATGCAAAACAAATATAGGGCCCTTTTCTCATGCCCTGGAAGAGCATTGAACCAACATGCTCACTTTGAGATGGGGCGTGCTTGTCATTGGGGATGACAAAACACACCCTATCTGGCCCCGCCCCCTTTTCAGTGGGCTGCTGTAATTAAAAATGCCCGGGCCGAATTTTTTCCCCAGTCCGGCCCTGCCTATCATCTACATCAGGCACACAGGGGTCCCTGTCTTCGGACCGCCACCCGTGACAGTAACTAGCTCCTGGCACAAAAAAATAACTCTGGATGTACAGTGGTTCAAGCTGAAACACTGCACATCCAGACTCCTACCACCATGATCACTTGGTAACCCTTTATGCGATTGAACAGAAGAAAAATCTAAATCAAATTAATATTTTATGTGACCACTAGATTTGTGCATAAATCCCCTTCAGCTGCGTTGAACGGATCAAATGGCTGTCAAACCATGGATGCACAAATGGATTTATTCAGGATTTGCCTAATGAATCGATTTTTTTCATCCATAGTTTAACAGGAATTAGATTTATTCAGGACATCTAAAAGGTAGTTGTGTACAAGACTAGTGACCACCCATTGCCTTCACAACAGCATCAGTCCTTCTAGGTACACTTGCACAAAGTCAGTTATAGTGTAGGCTTATAGCCAGATGCACAGTTAAACTAATAAACCAAAGAGTAGACTGGCTGTTTCTCACCCAGTTATATTTCTTGTACACAGCTATTAGCCCTTCTTTGGTAGACTTTTGCACAAATTATTTTCAGCTGGTCTGAACAAATCAAATTCATTTTAATCTACACCCGAATGGGTAGATCTATCCAGGATTTACCTGTGGAATCTTATGTAGTGTATACAGGGATGTGTCTTCCGCGAAACAGGCAAGGCATCTGCCTTGGGTGGCACTTTGTAGGGGGCGTCAAACAAAGCCGCCCCAAGCGCCCAGGCAGATCCCTTGCTTGCCTCGCGTCCTGGGGGGCTCAAGAGCTGGCCGACTGGCCACTTTTGAGCCTCCCCCGAGGCGGGTGGTGGTCAGCGAGGGAGCATACTCACCTGAGCTCTTCCTGCTCAGCTTCCTCTGCGCCTAATGAAGCCGGGAGCCGGAATATGACGTCAGATCGTCTCCCGGCATCACTAAGCAGCGCCCGAGGGAGCTGAGCAGGAAGATTAACCCCTTAAGGACCAAACTTCTAAAATAAAAGGGAATCATGACATGTCACACATGTCATGTGTCCTTAAGGGGTTAAAGCTTCCTCGCCACCTACTCAGCCTGTGCGCCCCCTGCCTGCCCACCCAGCAGCCACTGGACTGCAGGTAAGCAATCCACTCCAGCTCTCCTAGGGAGGCTGGGTGAATTTAAAATAAAATAAAAATGTGTGTGTGAGTGAATGTGTGTGTGAGTCAGTGAGTGTGTATGTGTCGGTCAGTGAGTGTGTGCGTCTGTCAGTGAGTGCGTGTCTGTCAGTGTGTGTGCATCTGTCAGTGTGTGTCCAAGTTATAGTGTGTGTGTATGTCATTGTTTGGCAGTGTATATGAGAGTGTGTGTATGTCAATGAGTGTATGCGTCTGTCAGTGAGTTAGCATCTGTCAAAGTGCGGCCTTGACTGGAAGGGGTGAGGAAAATTTAAATTGGCGGGGGGAGGGGCTGCACTGTATGAACACAGTATGAATCTATAATGGAGAAAGTCTGACTGGGTGCGAGACTTCCTCCAGGAGCGTTCAGCACACCGGGAGCATCTTTGCAGGTAGCGCGTTGATTTAGTATGCCATGGTTGGGGGCGGGTCCTCCTTGAGGGTTCTTATAAAACAAGCAAGTGTACATAACATTCTGTTTACGGCACAAAAAAAAGGATCTGAGTAAATTACAATCTCTCTTGGACCCATGGCAGAGTGGCAAAGGAGAAAGAGAGGTGTGTCCTTCCTGGATATATACTGTGGTGTTATGTGTTTTGATCAAATTGTACTCATTGCACTTTCTGTATGTGTCCTCGCTTCCTCCTCCCTTGTAATATTTTCCCTTTACACTCCTTGCACTGCTCTTCATAGAAATGGCATCAATTATAAGAAATGGTACAAAATATTTTTGTTGTACCTAGTTTTGACTTTATTTATGAAAATGTCATGTTTCCAATATATACATTTTATTTATTTTTTTAAATCTTAATTTTTGCTGTCCATAAGATAAAAAGGAACTTGCAATGCCACAGCAGCAAAAACAGGCACAATATTAATATCAAGCAGAGTAATACAGAAGCATGGCACTGAAATAACAGCACAACTTTTTAAAGGTAATAACAGGCTAATCAGGCTAAACGCTGCACCAGACAAAGTAAAATTAGTACAGAGAAGGTGGAGTTCGCCATTATTAGAGGGGCCTATATCTCTAGCGTTAGGCCTGAAGCTCGGCTCAGCCAACCCCATAGGTGGCAAAACTATAGCGCAGTCAGGGAAGTCCTGCTTGGGACTGGTCGCAGACTGGTGTTGAAGGTGCAGCTCCTCTAGTCCCAAACCCACATAAGAGCCAACTTCACCACTCCTTGGACTCGGCAGTTTTCACTTGACACTACCTACCCCTCCTGCTGGTAGTTGACAGCTGTAGTGATAGTTTGCTGCTGACGACGGTGGATTTTCCACACCTGAAAGCACATTGTAAGGCCTCCGCCGGGCCTTGGTTTATACCGGTGGGCAGGTGGTCAAGTAGATGGCTGCTTAATGCTTGGAGGGGACTTCCGCCTTTGGCTCCCTCCTGAGGCACATTCCGGACCTCCTGTTCACGCATGTGTACCTGTGTCCAGAAGCATCTAAATATCTCTTACAATCGTAACAGGCATTGACCAGTAGAACTGTGGAGAGCTTTTTGAGACAGACTCGGCTCCTGTGCACTCAGAGGGAGTGCGTCCACCATCCTATGTTGCTGAGTGTTGTCCTTGGAACAGCAAAGAGTAAGTGCTGCTAAAGCAATCAATGGCAATCGAGTGGGGACTGGGATAACCCCCACCGGTCCAGGCAATTGGGGTGTTAGGAGAGCAGCATGACAGTTAGGTGAGTTTAGGAGCAGGAAAAGTGGTCACCCAAGTAGACCGCAAGTAGGAGCTTGTGCTGCGCGCGTCTGAATGAGTCAAAGGTCAGGCTCCACCCCACGTTTCCAATATATTTACTCATGGAGATTTATTAAGGTGTTCTAAAAAAAAAAAAAAAAGGTTTTTGGGCGGGAGAGTTTTTTTGTTTTATATTGTTTAGTTTTGGGGGACTTCTCTACCAGAAGATTAAAAACTTAAAAAAGTAGGACAGTCACCATGGCAACCAATGCAAACCGAATGCACAATCTGTTTGTAATGACATTATATATTTAAACCTTTGTCCCTCTTCTCTGATCAGAGAACTTCAACAAATCTTCTACATTGTGTAAATATTTTGCATGCCTTTATTATTATTATTTTTTTATATGTATGCCTTTACATATACTTTTTACACCACAAAAAAAAGTTGGTTAAGAGAACAGTAGAAAAAAAATTTGTTTTGGGTGTTTTTAAAAAGTTTGCTATAAAAGGTTGATTAACCCCTTAAGGATTCCCTTTTATTCTAGAAGTTGTGTCCTTAAGGGGTTAAAGCTCAAGTAATGCAAAAAAATACACAAGATAGGATCAAAAAGAACATCAGAACTGATAAAGAACACTAGACATGCATCACAAATGGTGCAGAACAGCTTGTGACTGAAAAATTACTCCAGCTTGACAAAGACCTCTTGGCAGGTCAAAACGTTGCTGCTCTTTCACTTGTTTTGAACCAATAAATCTGCCTGCGGTTTGAACACCTTGAGTGCCTGGAGATTTTCTTTTTAACTGCCTAGGTTGGTCCTACTATCATTTTTTCACCATATCTGTTTTTTTATTTATGGATAGGACATAGGCAGGGCCATCCGCCTTGGGGCGCACTGATTCGGGGCTGGGGGAAAGACACACAAAAGGTGCTGGGGGGGGAGGGGGGAGAGGTACACACAAAGGGAAGTGTAAAAAGAGTCACAGTAGGAAAGGGGTAAAAGAGATACACAGAGGTCTGGGGAAGGGGAAAAAGAAACATACAGAGGAGCTGGGGGGGGGGGGACACAAAGGGGGCCTGGGATTGTGGGACAAAGTGTTGGGAAGAAAGAAACTCACAGAGTGGCTGTGGGGGAGAAAGAGGCACACCAAAGGGGCTGGGGGAAGAGACACACAGAGGGGCGAGTGGAGATAGAGACATACAAAAGGGCTGGATGAAGTAAGAGACACACAGTATGGTGGTTGTAAAAGACACATAAGGGTGTGTAAGACCAACAAAGGGAAAACATTTGGGGATAAGATTTTTTTAAAAATGGATAAGAAATACAAATGGAGGTAACAAATTCAAACAGGTGTTAAGAGACACACAAAGTGAAGATGTGTTTTTTTGGGGGAAAGCAAAAATGATCTTGGTCTATTCAATGCATACGGGAGCAATTTCAGGTAAATTGTTTTTTTCCTATACAGGTACACTTTAAGACCTTATATTCTTCTGCCTTTGCGTGTAAAGCCTTTATTTGTTTTTGCTTATAATAATCATAATATTTACCATTTGTATCCCTTCTCTCCTTGTTGGACTCTCCTAATTGCATTTACATGTGTGACAGAATTTGTGATTAGAGACATATATCTTGAAAGGCTTCACTAGAACAGGTAGCATTTCTTTAATGCCTTCGTAATAGCTGATATACAAAGTATGCAGTCTTTTTTTAAACCTCACCCAAAATTACAGGTCTCTACCACTGCATTGAAATCCTGCTGCTGCAGCACTCGACACTAGTGAGGGTGTCCAGCAATAGCCACCCTGAGGCTGCCCAAGATATTGGACTACTGTGGGAATATACCACATCAATCAGACAACCTGAACTATAGAGCGCTGATGGTGGATTACATCCCAGTGCGTATTGATCATGGCATGTATTGGGCGATTTCTGGATCAGATACTTTCAATTCCTGAGCCCATGCTGCAGAGCTAGAGGCACCCACTATACCTGGTATACACCATGATCAATATGTGCCAGGCAATTTCTGGCTTCGTCACAAGTGAGGCAGTCCAGCAATAGTGATTGATTGGCACGGGCCAATTACTGTAATTATATGTCATAACAGACACTAAGTGTATGCAATTATTGTGACTGATTCTCACAGATATCACTCCTGGGGGCCCATCTACCAACCAGTAAACTGTTAGGGTTAGTGTGAGCTATTGTTAGGGTGAGTTTAAGTTAGGAATAGTTAGACAGGGTTAAATAATAATAGGGTTAAAGTTAGACGTAGCTTGACGTCAACGTTTGAGACTGGTCAGTGTAGTGGCACAGATAGTGTCCCTTCACCAATTAGCATCTCTGGGAAGCACGCAAAGAGGCATGTCAACTTTGGCAAAACCCCAAATCCTGGCAAAGATATATATATATGTATATATATATATATATATAAATTAACATTTATATTGCTGTACATGAGGAGATGCAACAGCATTCAAATCTGGGGTAATAACACAAGACTTATAATAGAGAAATTGCTGATGAAATAGCTAAGTGAAAAGACTCAAAATGCCCCATATGAAATAAGTAAAAACCCAAGAAACATATTACGGGCCATAGAATGGCCAGATTTTACATACAAGAGAAAGGTCAGGAACAAGTCGAGGTCAGGGAAAAAGAAAGAGACAATATCGAGGATACAAGCCAAAAATAATCAAACAACAAGACAAAGTCAAAATACCAGTAGGAAAACAAGCTGAACGCACTCTCTGATAACAACAAGTGGGAACCACGACAGGTCACTGAAGGACAGGTAATAAAAGTTAAAATACCCTACTGTAGGCTGTGATAGGCAGGTTTAGGTCACCTGACGTGAGTGATGTAAACATGATGACAATAGCACATCCGTCTCATTTTCTATTATAGGACCTACTGTCCCTTTAAATATTTTACGTGTGTCATACTGGCCGCAAGCGCCACAGAGGGAGGCTACCGGACTGCTGCACAGTACCGCGCTGAAGGTAAGTACGACCCGCCGGCGACATTACATCTTCCTAACCAATGTATTGATATCCTAGACGCATGTGTTTTTTCCACAATCTAGGCTAAAAAGTAATGAACAATCTATTTTTGGTGTATTGATCTTCTTCTGTAAGAATTACATTATAAGTAAAAATTTGAAAAATATTTTTTCCCATTCATTACTATTTTATTCACAGGTGATACTGTTATATATTTCAACAGGACATCAAAATAAAGCCCTATCTTTTCTTTACAAAGTATATACACTAAATCTGGGGAAGGTAACCTTGTGCACTCCAGATGTTGTGGACTACATCTCAAACAATGCTTTTACAGTCATATTTATGGTAAAGCATCATTGTTTAAAATGGGTAAATAATTAACTCATCTACATTCACATATGGTGTACCTGCCCTATAATGACGAATGTTGGGAGGAAAATTAACCCCTTTAGGATGGCAGGTGTTCTTTGCCGTCACGTTTGGTGTGGCTCTAAACACCAGCGGGCGGCATTTCCGCCGTCCTTATTACTTACACAATCGCCACCGTTCCCACGCTGGCGATTGGCATTGCTCGTGGTCTGGGGTGACTGACTGACAGCATTTTTTACACACAAACGGCACTTTCAATTATGATATTGTTGTTTTGCTGTATTAAAACACTAATATTTGTGTTCAGCTAAGTCTCCTGAGTATAACAGTACCCCCCCCCATGTACAGGTTTTATAGTGTTTTTGAAAGCTACATGGTCAAATATAAAGCTTGCTTTGCCATTTTTTCACATTGAAATTTGCCAGATTGGTTATGTTGCCTTTGAGAGCGTATTGTAGCCCAGGAATGAGAATTACCCCCATGATGGCATACCATTTGCAAAAGAAGACAACCCAAGATATTGCAAATGGGGTATGTTCAGTCTTTTTTAGTAGCAACTTAGTCAAAAACACTGACCAAAGTTCGTATCCATAATTGTTTTTTGCATTTTTCACATCCAAACAAATATAAATGCTAGATTTGGCCAGTGTATGTGACTAAGTGGCTGCTAAAAAAAAAAAAACTGGACATACCCCATTTTGAATACCCTGGGTTGTCTACTTTTGCACAATGGTATGCCATCATGGGGGTAATGCTCCTTCCTGGGCTTTGATACAGTCTTAAAAGCAACATAACCAGTCTGGCAAATTTCAATGTGTATAAACTGAAAAATGTAGCATGCTATATTTGACCCTGTAACTTTCCAAAACACCATAAAATCTGTACATGGGGGTACTGTTGTACTTGTGAGATTTTGCTGAATACAAATATGTGCACTTTATTGCAGTAAAAGCTAACAGTATTATGATATTCACAGTTAAAATGCCACGCAGAACTAAAAAAAAATTTCAAATCTAAATTTCTCACACTTTTTTACATTTTATTCATAATGAATTATGTTTCATATATGAATTGTTCATGTGAAGTGAAAGCCCTGTTTCTCCTGAACAAAAATGATATATAAGAAGTGTGGGTGCACTTAATATGAAAAAGGTGAATTGACATATAGCGCAATAGTTGAACAGACATATTATATAGACATATAATTCCAGTTTTTGTTTATGTTTTGTTTTGATCACAACGTGTACAACTGGTTCAGTCCTTAAGGGGATAAATGTTTATTAGGAGAAGGTATTTCAGAGATAATTCATATGACCTAGACCCATGACCTTATCTGTTATCCCACCCTATAGATGGACTGACCTGACACTCCCAAATACTATAAAATACCATAACGCTTGCAGCTAGGAGACTGATAGCAATCCATTGGCTCAAGCAAGATCTACCCGGTATAAACCAAAATCACTAGATAAATGAACTACCATACTCTGAGGTTCTCATCAAAAAACTTGGTTTCTATGGGACGACGTCCCTAATTCTTCTTAAGATTTTCTGTGACTCCATTCTGGTCTAGCTAGGTCAGTGGTGCTCCTCCACCCTCCTCCTCCCCATTCTTTTCCTAACATACTTTTTCTTTGTTTTGTCTATTTAATTAATTTTTTTTAAAATGTTTTTTATGTTTTCAAAATTTTCTTTTGAATGTTTACTTTTAACTCTCCAAGATTCTTGAGAGAATTGTATATGCGAGATTGACAGACTTGCTAGAATCCAACTCTTTGCTTGACCCGCTTTAGTCTGGATTCCATGCTCATCACTCTGTCGAAACAGCTGTGACCAAAGTATCCAACGATTTTATCGCTGCTAAGTCTCGCGGCCACTACTCTATCCTAATTCTCCTTTATCTTTCTGCTGCCTCAACAGCTTTTTCTCATTCTCCATAATCTTGGTCTACAGGATACTGCTCTCTCCTGGAGCTCCTTCCCAGGGCCGGACTGGGGATACAAAGCAGCCCTGTCAAAAAAATCTATGTCAGCCCCATAAGTTATTGCTCCCTATATTGTCACATGTAATATGTAAGGCTATGTTTTCCCACCCAAGATGATTGAATAATATATAAACACACACATACATATATATATATATATATATATATATATATATAAACATATATACATATATATCACATAAATATATTTATTTTTCTAAAATGCACACACATAGGCTCACTCACAGACAATCTCACTGACACACACATGCTCCCTACAGAAAAGCTCACTGACACAAACATGCTTACTAAAGAAAAGCTCATTGACACACACGTTCCGCACAGAAAAGCTTACTAACACACATATGCTCACTACAGACAAGCTCACTGACACAGACATGCTCACCACAAACAAGCTCACTGACATACACATGCTAGCTGGCACACACACACATGCTAGCAGGCACACACACACAAGGTCACTCACTAGTAGGCACACACACACACAAGCTCACTCACTAGCAGACACACACACAAGCTCACTCACTAGCAGGCATACACACAAGTTCACTCACTAGCAGGCGCACATACATACACAAGCTCACTCACTAGCAGGCACACACACACAAGCTCACTCACTAGCAGACCAACACAGACAAGCTCACTCACTAGCAGGCACACATACAAGCTCACTCACTAGCAGGTACACACAAAGTTCACTCACTAGCAGGCACACACAAGCTCACTCACTAGCAGACACGCATACACACACAAGCTCACTCACTATCAGGCACACACACACAAAGCTCACTCACTAGCAAGCACACACACATGTTTACTCACTAGCAGGCACACATGCACAAGCTCACTCACTAGCAGGCACACACACACACAAGCTCACTCACTAGCAGGCACACACACACACAAGCTCACTCACTAGCAGGCACACATGCACAAGCTCACTCACTAGCAGGCACACACACACACACACACACACAGAAGCTCACTCACTAGCAGGCACACAAACACAATCATTGTCATGGCTGAAGCTTATCTGGCACTGGTAGGTGAAGTTGCCATTTTGCATCTTTCTTCCAGTGAGGTCAGTAACGTGCGTGGGGGGCGGAGCTTGCGTTCGGGAGATGGAGCTTTCATTCAGGAGGCGGGCTTCCATGCAGGTCATGCGGCCAAAATTGATGTAAATTTAGAAGGGAGACTGACAGGTCTCCCTTCGGCCATGGGCAGCTTAATTGCGGCCGAACCAGTGGCGGATCCAGAGCCTGATCTTGGGAGGGGCACTTGTAGATTATTTAAAGAAATAATCCAGACACAATAACCACTACAGCTCAGTGTAGCGGTTATGGTGTCAATAGTGCCGGGACCCCCTCCCAGAGTAAGTAATCAAACCGTTTAATAACAGTTTGACAACTTATCTGAGGTCTGCTGGGAAATGGGGCTGTAGTAGGGCATAGGAGCAGTGGTGTGTGTGAGTGGTGCAATGTATAAGGAGTGCAGTGTGTGTGTGAGGGGGACAGTGTGTGTGTGTGTGTGTGATAGCTGCAGTGTGTGAATGAGGGCGGCAGTATATGTCAGGGGTGCAGTGTGTGTGTTAGGGGGGCAGTGTATGTGTGGGTCAGTATTTGTGTGTGACATTTGCAGTGTGTGTGTGTGTGTGTGTGTGTGTGTGTGTGTAAGGGTTGCAGTGTATGTATGAGTGTGGGGCAATGTGTGTGTATGGAGGGGCAGTGTGTGTGTATGTGGGGCAGTGTGTGTACATGTAGGGGCAGTGTGTGTACATGTGGGGGCAGTGTGTGTGTGGGGGGGAAGCAGTGTGTGTGTGGGGGAAGCAGTGTGTGTGTGGGGGAAGCAGTGTGTGTGTGTGGGGGAAGCAGTGTGTGTATGGGAGGCAGTGTGTGTGTATGGGGGGCAGTGTGTGTGTGTGTGTGGGGGGGGGGAGCAATGTGTGTGTGATTATAAAAAAGCCCCCTACCCTTATCACACACATTGCTCCCCCACACACACACATACACTGCCCCCATACATACATATTAATTTTTTTTTAAAAAAAACAACACATATTATATGAAATATTAAAAGCGCCCCCCCCACCCTTCTTATATCTGTTTTTTTTTTTTTTATTTAAATGTAATTAAAACATATATTCTTTATGTCCCCCCTTCCTTCTTACCTTTACTGGGAGGAGGGGGGACATATTTCGATCCCTGGTGGTCCCAGTGGTGGTTACAGTGAACTCTAGACCACGCTCCAGGGCTAGAGTTCACTCTCGTGAGATTTGGAGCATTGCCGTGGTAACCGCGGCAACGCTCCATGCTCACGAGAGGAGGACCCGGAGGAGCTGCAGGTAAGAGCTCCCGGGTCCTCTCTCACTCCGTCCCCCCGCCGGCTTTCAGCAATGTGGTCCGCAGGCACATTTCAGGGCTGGCCAGCCCTGCATTACCCGACAGGAGAGAATCTCGGGGGGGTGGGGGGGGGCCACTGGGCCGAACCAGCCCCCTTTTAACTCCCCTCGGACTGACACAGGCTGGCACAGCCCGAGGGGAAAATGCTTAAATTACACTATCTTGATGATTTGGGCTGTCTGCCCAGCCTGTACCGCGGCTCACCAGGAAATTTCCCGGTATCCAGATAGGCCAGTCCGGCCCTGCTTCTACCTCTCCCAGTGTTCTTTCAGTGTTTCATTGTCTGACTCTGCCTCTTCTCCCCAACCCCTCTCTGTTAGTGTTCCCCAAGGTTCTGTTCTTGGTCCCCTACTGTTCTCTATCTATACTGCCTCCCTTGGTGAACTCATAAGCTTCTATGGCTTCTATTATCATTTATATGCAGATGGCATGAAAATCTACCTTCTTCTTCTGATCTCTCTCCACCCATCTTGACTCGTGTCTCTGACTGCCTCTCTGTGATTTCCAACTGGATGGCTGCTCATTTCCTTAAACTCAGCCTATCCAAAACAGAAACTTCAGGTCTTTCCTCCATCAAGTGTCGCTACTCCTGTGTCTGTCGCCCTCCAAGTCAACGGCACTACCATCACCTCTACCTTGCAGGCTTGCTGCCTAGGTGTTCTCTTTGACTCCATCTCCTTTACCCCTCATGTCCAGTCGATCGCCAAATCCTGCTGCTTCCATCTCAAAAACATAGCGCGGATCCGTCCCTATTTAAAACCAGATACGGCTACGGTGCTGGTTCATGCCATTGTTATCTCTTGTCTTGATTACTGCAATCCCCTTCTTACTGGTCTTACATGTTCCCAGCTTGCACCGTTGCAATCTATAATTAATGCAGCAGCGAGGCTCATGTTCCTGTCTGCCCGCACCTCCCACTTTTCTCCCCTCTGTCAGTCCCTACATTGGCTTCCCGTATTCTGGTGATTCTGGTGCTTGCTTACAAATCTCTACATAATGCTGCTCCAACTTACCTACCGTGTATACTCGAGTATAAGTCGACCCGAATATAAGTCGAGACCCCTAATTTTACCCCAAAAAACTGGGAAAACTTATTGACACGAGTATAAGACTAGGGTGGGAAATGCAGCAGCTACTGGTAAATTTCTAAATAAAATTAGATCCCCCAAAAAATATATTAATTGAATATTTATTTACAGTGTGTGTATATAATGAATGCAGTGTGTGTGTATATAATGCAGTGTGTGTATGTGTGTATGAGTGTAGTGTGTGTGTGTGTGTGTATGAATGCAGTGTGTGTGTGTGTATGAATGCAGTGTGTGTGTATGTGATGCAGAGTGTGTTTGTGTATGTGATGCAGAGCCTAGGTGGGGGGTGGGCATTTTTATTATTTTTTTTAAATTAATATTATTTTAATATATATTTTTTTATATTATTAATATTTTTTATTTTATTTTAATATTATTTAAATCTTTATTTATTTATTTTCTTATCTAACGCCAGTGCTGCAGTGCCGCCGTGTTTACATTAAAAGGCCTGCAAGGACAGGCTATAGACACCAGTACCACTACATTAAGCTGCAGTGGTTCTGGGGACTATAGTGTTTCTTTAATGTGAGGTAAATTAGAGATTAGTGCCACGAATAATATACTAGATTGCCTACTTACAACCAGATGAGGATGATGATGGGCTCTAGCTGCAGTCTGGCTCCACTGGTCTGGTGTAGAACAGGCTCTCTGAAGGCGGTTTGTAACTGTGATCACAGAAATCAATGTTCTGGGAGAACGGGCAGCAGCTCCATTTTTTGGAGGCCCTTTACACAGCTCAAGGTCTGGGTCCCAGGGTCCACCTTCATGTTCCACCAATGAGTTTGTTCACAGGGGGTGGAGTGTGTAGGGGATGTCCTGATATGTGTGTAAGGAATGCATTGTATGAATCTGTGTTTGTATGTGTAAGGGCTGCAAGATAGGCATGCGTGGGATAGGCATAAGGCTATCCTAACTATAAGATAAGGCTAGGGACTAATGAAAGTATTTAGAAAATTGGGCAGACTAGATGGGCCGGATGGTTCTTATCTGCCGTCACATTCTATAAGGTGTGTTTCTGTGTATGTACGGGATGCATTGAGTGTGTGTAAGGGGTGCATTGAGTGTGTGTAATGAATGCATTGTATGTTTCTGTGTGTGTAAGGGATGCATTGTGTGTAACTGTTGCATTGCTTGTGTATGTGTGTGTGTAATGCAGTGTGTGTAATTCATTGTGTTTTTCTGTGTGCAAGGGGTGCATTGTGTGTGATGAATGTCAATCTCTCCCTCCCCTTCAATTTCCTTCTCTCCCCCCCTCCAATTTCCTTCTCCCCCCTCCCAATTTCTTTCTTTATCCCCCCTCCCAATTTCTTTCTTTATCCCCCCCTCCAATTTCCTTCTCCCCCTCCCAATTGCTCTTTATCCCTCCGTAATCTTTCTTTATCCCCCCTCTCAGTTTCCTTCTCCCCCCCTCCCAATTTCTTTCTTTTATCCCCTTCAATCTTTCTTTATCCCTCAATTTCCTTCTCCCCCCAATCTTCTTTATCCCCCCCCCTCCAATTTCCTTCTCTCCCCTCCCAATTTCTTTCTTTATCCCCCTCTCCAATTTCTTTCTTTATCCCCCCTCCCAATCTTTCTTTATCCCCCCCTCTCCAATTTCCTTCTCCCCCTCCCAATTTCTTTCTTTATCCCCCCTCTCCAATTTTCTTCTCCCCCTCCCAATTTCTTTCTTTATCCCCCCTCCCAATCTTTATTTATCCCCTTCCCAATTCCCCCCACCTCTGTTGTAGCGTGGCCGAGTCTGTATCATGGTCCGCGGGTACAGGGAGCTTTTGTTTCCTGTACCCAGCCGGACTAACAGGAAGTGAACACTCATTGTGTACTTCCTGTTAGTCCGGCTGGGTACCGGAGACAGATGCTCCCTGTACCCGCGGACCATGATACAGGGCTCGGCCACGCTACAGTGAGGGAGTGACAGGAGGGAGCGCTGAGCGCTGAGCGCTTCCCTCCTGTCAGCCCCTCTCCTCAGGCTGCGCCCGGGCGGGCAAAGCTGCAGCCGCCTGAGGCTCTCTACTTCACCAGGGCTGCACCTTTTCTGTGGAACTCCCGTCTCTTCTCCGTTAGACATTCATCAAGTCTCCATTCCTTCAAAAAAATAATTGAAAACTCACTTGTTCAGAAAGCGTATCAATTAAACTTTTTACAGCTTTTCATCCCCACACCCTGACTCCTCTCCTGGAACTGTAAAAAATAACCTACTAAGCCCTCATTGAATACTTTTCTAGCATTCTCCTTTGATACCCCTACTTTTACCCTTTGTGTCACTATACCCTACTCCCTCTAGCATGTAAGCTCATTGAGCAGGGCCCTCAACCCCTTTGTTCCTGTGCATCTACTTGTCTGGTGTACAAGTACGTGTCTGTTAGTACACCCACTGTACAGCGCTACGGAACTTGCTGGCGCTATATAAAATAATTAAAATAGTAATAATAATTAGAGCCCATGGTGCACTGTTTGATGATACGCACTGTCATGTGACAATTTATTACTATTCTGAATTTATTATAAGGGTATGTAACTTTGTTTCTCAATACACAGTGAAAAATGGATGGGAATAACTAATTCACAATTGTATTGTACCTTGAATGATATGTAACGCAACTCTCCTGTCTCTGCTAAATAAAGAATTTTATTTTTAAAGAAGTTAGAAATTCAATTAAAGTGGCTTTGTCATAGTCTGGAGTCTTTGCATAATTTGCAAACATCCCCAATATTGACATTACTGCTGAGTGTTCAGTAACCCGGGGTGCAGGGAGAGATGAGTTATACTTACCTGGACCTGTCTCTTGTGGCAACCACTATGCTCTTCCATTCAGTCCTCTTCAACACCTGGCGCTTCAGCGGCCATTAGCTGATGTCAATGCCGTATTCTGGAATACGCGAGAATGCAACATTCAGGTCTATGGAGTATCCGCGAGGGTGCGGGATCTTCCATAGACAGAGCCTTTTCCCTTCGACACGCTTTGACCCCGCCTTTTTGTCATGTAGAAGAAAAATGCTAGAGAAAATGGTCCCTGCTTTATCTTAGCATAACTTTTGACTAGGATGGAATTTCATCCTGAATTTCAGTGAAAAAAAAACGATTATATATTTAAATGAAATAGACATTTTGGCAGGGGGTAACAGGATCATTTTAAATTACTGCAAATGCTCAAAATCCCTGCAAGGTGTAGCTTTATTCAGAGCAACATAACACAAATAAGCAACATTTCAGAAACACGATGAAGATCATAAAACCAAAATGTCCCTCCTTTTTTGTGTGATGGTGCAATGAATAAAACGGCACATTAATAAGAACTTGTTGTTGTGCTGGCATTTTTCTGACTGCTCAATTCACTGCCATTTAAGACTCACACACCCTGCATTAAAAAAAGGGTTTCATTTTCAAACAGTTCTTATAGCACATTGTGTTTACTTGAGAAGTAGGCTCTAGTAGGCTATTGCCAGGCCAGTTTTTTAGAATTGCTAGTAAACACACTGTGCAGTAAGGGACGATAAAAATTATATTAATTTTTCAGGAAGTGTGTAACGAGACTGTGGAAGTCACTGGCATGGAGGGTGTGGCTTGGGCTGCATAAACAAAGCGCTTTAAAAAAAAATCTTTATTTTTACAGCGCATAGTGTTTACATGGTCATGAAATAGCAAGATTAAAAAGGAGCTATATGTAAAAAAAAAAACATTAGTTATATGAAGTGAGAACAATGCACTTTGTTTTTATATATATATATATATAACAAGCAACCAAGACATTGTCTGCCTGTGGACAAATAGAGATTCTGGTGCTTGTGAGTAATCCTCGCAGAGAGGGCTAATGGAGTTTTTGTCCCAGGTACTGGATAATGTGTATGCTTTTAGTTATGGTATGAGTGTTAATTGCGTGGCTGTTGCATGTGTTAGTACATGGGAGCATTGGGTGTCCATGTGATGGAGTGAACAATGCATGGCAGCATTTTAATTTACGAGGTAGTATACCTGGATTAGGTAGGTTAGTTGATTCTAGCCAGGTGCTTGCTTGGTTAGTTAGATTAGTGGTTAATTGCTTTGCGTTCTGAGTGGTGTCCCCTAACCAAGGGGATTGTGGGGAGTTTGAGCATGGGTGTCCCCCAATTAGTGTCAGCTGCGCTGGGTGGCCATAGTGAGTGGTAGTGATAGGTATCGGTGGATCTGGGTGGCCATAGTGAGTGGTAGTGATAGGTATCGGTGGATCTGAGCCTCTTAAGAGTCTCTTGTTTTCACAAAATAGCATGTTGAACTTGAAACTGAGAAAACAAAACAAAGTTTAAAAAAATAAAACATAAAAATATGAAAGGTAACTTTTGTGTCTGTGGGACTTGTAAGTGAATTGCCTAGACATGGTGTTGTCCAGCAGGGACCCGGGTGTGATGGATCAAGAGAGTAACCTGTTCCAGTCATGGTACTGGATCTCGTGTGGTGCTTGGGCTCAGGGTAAAAGGGTCAAGGTTCCATGTCCCTGTTGAGGGTCCCGCTGCAGGGCTGGTATCTGAAGCGTTCAACCCCAGCTTTTCCAGAAAGAAAGGTGCTTCTGCAGCTGATGTGAGAGTACGGCACGTCCTGTTGTGGGTTGCATTTAAGGAGCTGTTTGTCCCCATTTGTATTCCATTCCTTCTTCCCTTAAATGGCTTGTAAGTGGGCCTGGTGATTTTTGCCTAGTGAGAGTGACTCTTGACAGGTTCTGATAAAATGTTAGTGGTGAGTCCTCAAAGTTGAAAGGTAGTTTGCCTTTGAGTGCAGTCACGATCAGGATTTTGTCGTGGATTGTCAGACATCTGAGGATCACGCCCCGGCCATGTTGGGTGGTGATTTTGAGGAGCCACGTAGGCGGAATATCCCATCTATGGACACCTTTTTAGCTGTAGCGTGAGGCAGCATAGTGGCTAGTAAGCGTCTGGCATAGTGCAGCAATTCCTCTGTCGAGATGGTTGTGGGGATACCCAAAATTTTTACATGAGTGTGGCGATTGCGATTTCCATGTTTGTCAGTTGGGCTGACATTGCCCCTTGTTGTGTCCAGAGCTGTTGCACTGATTCCTGAAGCGTGGACAGATGGGCTTGTACTCCAATCATGTCTTCTTCTGAAGGCTGTACAGGATCTCTACAGGATGCTAGCTCTGCTGCCAGTAGTTTGTGAATATTGGCTAGCAGAACTTTTAAGATGTGCTTTGTAGTCGTGGTCGAGTCAGCGGTAGGTGGCTGTGAAGTCTGTTGTGACACCTGTGGGTCTACTATCAGCTCTGGCCCGTGCAGTATCCGGGGGTGTCACGCACCTGAACTGTAGGAGCAGGCTTAGGCTGTGTGGGCCTCATGTCTCTGTCTTCTGCCAATGTGCCAGGTCTTTGTGCGTGGTGGCCCATGGCAGGAATGTGGGTGGAGACAGTAGGGGTTTGAGGTGGAGGTTCTGTGGTCCCTCTTGTAGTGGCCTGGCCTCCTATGAGCGTCTCCAGGTCTCGAGGTGTTATAGAGAAGTAGGCCCCAGACCTTCACTTCTGTTTGGTCTGTTTAAGAAAGAAAGGCATCTAATTGACGGCGGGCTCTGTAGATGCGTTCTAGCCACTTCGTAGGGCTGTATGGGCTTCAGGTTTATAGATATTCAGGAGCTCCCAGAAATGGTGTCTTATCGGGTTTGCAGGCAAACTCCGCCCCCATAAACAAAGCGATTTAACTACTAAATGGCAGAGAATTAAGCAGTGAGATTGCAGGGCATGATTTATACATCAAAACAATTTAATTATATTAAAGTTGTTTTTGTGCTTAGAGTATCCCTTTAACAAAAAAAGTTCTTCAAAATCTACTTTGCAGTAAATGAAACACTCAAAGCCCTTTAAATAGAATATTGAAAACGTTATTTGCAAATATTTTTTTAAATTGTGTTTTTACACTTTTCTTCTTGCTTTCTCAAAATACAATATTAATTGAAATACATTTCCTTTGCAGGTGTAAAGCGTTATCTGTATATCCTGCTTAAATCTATATCTTCTAGAGGGCAGACTTTTAGACCTTACTTGGTTTTGAAGAATTTAAGTGTGAGATATGTTTAACTTTATCTTTGACCACTTCCAAAAATATCTTGGTAGAGGACATTTAATTAATTTTGCAAAGATGATTATCTCCATCTTTGAAATAGATGGTTAAAGATTGTTATTTGTATGCAGTTCTTGTGTAGGTGGTCTGTACTTTCCTTCTAAAAGGACTTTAGTTAAAAATAACCCTTAAGAAATTCATTTTATAGCATATTTTTGTTTGTATTTAAAATATCTCTATTTGCAGGTTATTGCTGCAATCGCACCTTTAAAGTCCTCTGAAGTTGCAAATAAAGAGTACTGTCTTGGGCCAAAATATCTCCAGAAAGGATTACTCTATGATGGAGAAACATGAACACCATTTATTTTATCAATGGCATTCAAGTCAGTCTTCAAAGAGCACCAGCAATTTAGTATTTAGGGATTACCAAATTGTGTTGAAATTACTCTACAGATGCATTCTTGACCATTTATAGTCTTTTAGTGCTGGTTTGAGAACTACTGATTTAAACTGATATACAGTAATGCTTTAGGCAGAACCGTCTCTTGACTAGAAATTACACCATTGAATAGAAAATCTAAATAATCAGTTGTGTTAACCTTTCCATGTAATACTCATTTTTCTTTTAAAATGTATATTAAAGATTTAGCAAAGTGAAATCACAATCCAATTCAGCTCAGGCAAAGCCAGTGACTGAAGTGAGGAAAAGAAACAAAATATTGTTACGGTTTCTCATCTTCCACAATGTTCAATGACAGAAAAGAGCAATATTTATAAAAAATAATGACAGGGAGCCAAGATGGAGGGGGACTGTAAGCTCTTCATCGGTTCCTGAGATCCACTTGTTGTGGAGATATGCAGATTTCTTTTGCCTGTTTGTAAGTACATTTGTCTATTAAATAGTTTTTTTTACCAAACAATATTGCAAGATTTTCTCTATCTCCTACATCATTAAAGTTTCTATATTGCAAGATACCTATTGCAAAAAGACAGTAGTTCTGGTGAGATGTGCCTATTATAAACTATTATCTTGTGAGTGTTCTACCTTCCCTTCTATCATATATTGCTTTTAGATGTATTACACTATTTTGTGTGTGTGTTTTTTTTTCTCTGTCCTAGATACTTTATACTTTATTATGTATTTATCAGGTCGTATATTATTTGATTTATCCTTTTGTAGAGCTTTTCATATATATACCAAATAAGTTGTGGTGGCGAAAAATTGTGGATGAAAACCCCTTCCACCTGAAATAAATAAGTGGATAGTTAATGCAATGTTAAACACAAATACACACACCAGGCAATGCCTACCCACAATCCCTTGCAGTAGTGAGAGTACTATTAAAGTGAGAGTTCTGTGGTAAAAGCAAGTTTTATGGTTGCCCATGTGTGTATTTCTGTTTAACATTGCATTAACTATATATATATATATATATATACATATATGAATATATATATATATATATATAAGGTATTACAAGATACAAATTTTATTTGTTTTTATATATATATATATATATATATATATATTTATATTTATTGCATACAAGCAAAAAATTACATAATTTTTTTCATCAATATCCCTTGAATTGCACCCTTATTTTTTGGATTATTTATTATACGTAGATTGCACCAGGGTATTGAAATACATGTTACAAGTTAAATTATATATATATATATATATATAAAATATCAGAGTATTGTATTTTGGCATTAGATTGGCGTACAGAGACTTACATTCGGATAAACCGGTTGCAAAACACATCCTGAAAATTTGTGGGAATTGACCACGTCTATCATCAAAGAAGAGGTGGTAAAAGACGCAAAATGCTGCTCAACAGGGAAACCTGTTGGATATACTAACTGGATACGGTAGCCCCTAAGGGACTAAATGAGACTATACCATTTCATTCATTTCTTTAAACATGCTCCAGACTGTTCTGAAGATTATTGTTTTTATTATTCACTAAACAGTGTTATATGGTGTAATGCTTGAAGTTGTATATACATTTAGCATCAGTATCACTTTAACATAGACACTACTTGCACTTTAATAGATCACTTTCACTAAACTTCCTGATCAAATGTATATGATTGCACTTTATAATAATTAGGATGCAAGTTTACATCCGATCACCATTTTTTCACTATACAGTACTCTAATTAGCACTTCAGTTTAGTTGCACATAGCACTAAGGCACTTTATAAAAAGTAACATAAGATTGATGATATAGACACAGTATATGCACTTTATTATCATTGAGTTTAACCCCTTCCCGACCGCAGATGGAAATTTTCCGTCAACCTTGTCCTTCAGTTAAGGACCGTTGACGGAAAATGTCCGTCATTTACTAAAGTTAACCCCAGATCGCCGTGATCGCGTGCAAGGGGTGTAGTGTATGTGCGAGAGGGGTGCAGTGTGTGTGTGAGTGATGGGTGCTGTGTTTGTGTGAGGGTGCTATGTGGGTAAAGGTGCTGTTTGTGTGTGCTGTGTGTGATTGGGTGCTGTGTTTGCGTGAGGGTACTATGTGCGTGTGAGGAAGCTGTGTGTGTCAGGGGTGCAGTGTGTGTGTGTGAGGGTGCTGTAAGTGTTAGGGGTGCAGTGTGTGTGTGCTTTGCGTGTCAGGGTGCAGTGTGTGTGTGTGTGTGTGTGTGTGAGGGTGCTGTAAGTGTTAGGGGTGCAGTGTGTGTGTGCTGTGGGTGTCAGGGGTGCAGTGTGTGTGTGTGTGCTGTGTGAGTGTCAGGGGTGCAGTGTGTGTGTGTGCTGTGAGTGTCAGGGGTGCAGTGTGTGTTAGTGTGTGTGAGTGAGGGTGCTGTGAGGTGGGGTAGTGAGGGTGCTGTGTGTGTGTGTGTGTGAGAGTGAGGGTGCAGTGTGCAGTGTGTGTCTGTGTGTGTGTGAGAGTGAGGGTGCTGTGAGTGTCAGGGGTGCAGTGTGTGTGTGTGTGTGTGTGTGAGTGAGTGTGCTTTGAGTGTCAGGGGTGCAGTGTGTGTTAGTGTGTGAGTGGGGGTGCTGTGAGTGTCAGGGGTGCAGTGTGTGTGTGTGTGAGTGAGGGTGCTTTGAGTGTCAGGGGTGCAGTGTGTGTGTGTGTGTGTGAGTGAGGGTGCTGTGAGTGTTAGGGGTGCAGTGTGTGTGTGTGAGTGAGGGTGCTGTGAGTGTCAGGGGTGCAGTTTATGTGAGTGTATGAGTGAGGGTGCTGTGAGTGTCAAGGGTGCAGTGTGTGAATAAGGGTGCTGTGAGTGTTAGGGGTGTCTGTCAGGCTGATGTGACTTGGGTGATTATTTTCCCCCTCCCTGCTTACCTTATGCCTGGGAGAGGGGATCCTGCTGCTGCTGGCATCCATCCCTAGTGGTCCTAGTGGTGAGTGAACTCTAGCCTGTGGGCCTAGAGTTCACTCCCGCGAGACCCGGAGCGTTGCTGCACTTTAGAGCTCCGCTGGGTTCCTCTCCTGGCTGGCTCCCTCTCTCCCCGCCAGCGGCCGCAATATACTGCATGTGGGCCGGTGACGGAGATCTTTGATCTCCCCACCAGCCCGCCATGGACTACTGAGGGGGCCGGCGCTCGGACAGTGCCGGCCCTGCAAAGACCAGCAGGGGAGATCACCGGCCCATGGCCACCGCGGCCCACCGGGCATTTGCCCGGTGTGCCCGATGGCCAGTCCGGGCCTGGACACAGCATAAAAATTACAAATTTGAGAAAATCTGGAATGGCTGTGTCTTAAATGTGCCCCTTCAATGTCCACATATACCAGGCAAAAGTACATACGGGGGTATTGCTGTACTCAGCTGACATAGCTGAGCAACATATGTAGTATTATGCAGTCGTAGCACACATAAGGTTTCCAAAATATTCTGTGCAAACTCACTTTGTGTGTCAAAAAGGCAGAAAAAATGCTTATTACCACTACACTTGGTACAAGCTAGCGGAAAAATGATCCCACGCTAAGGTTCAAAATAGACCTTTTGAAATACCCTGGGATGTCTTCTTTAAGAAATGGTATGGCTTTATGGGGTATTTGGATTATATAGCCTGGTAAAATACTCTAAAATGGGACATGGGCACAGTGTAAAAATGTAAAGTTTGAAAAGAACTGGAATGGCTGTGTCCCAAATGTGCCCCTCCGATGTCCACATATACCAGGCAAAGGTACATACGGGGGTATTGCTGTACTCAGCCGACATAGCTGAGCAACATATGAAGTATTATACAGTCGTAGCACACATACGATTTGCAAAATATACTGTGCAAACTCACTTTGTCAAAAAGGCAAAAAAACGCTTATTACCACTACACTTGGTACAAGCTAGTGGAAAATTATCCCACGCTAACGTTCAAAATATGCCTTTTGAAATACCCTGGGATGTGTTCTTTAAGAAATGGTATGTCTTTATGGTGTAGTTGTAATATGTAGCCTGCTCAAGTGCTCCAAAGTGGGACAATTTAAATACTAATAATAGAGGTATAATTTTAACTCTTGATTTTAGCAGAGAAAAAATAAATTTTTTAGATCTTGATATTTTTATTAAAAATAATAAAATACAAACTAAAACGTTTTTAAAAAAAGTCTGTGTTAATACAGCCATTGACAAAACCAGCTGTCACTACAAACCATGGCTCGACAGCGTTCCAAAAAGTCAATTCTTAAGATTACGAAGAAACTGCACTGATTTAGATAATTTTAACGAGCAAGCAGATATTTTAAAGAATACATTTATGGAAAAGAACTATCCAGAAATAGATCTATTGAACAATATTAATGAAGTAAAAACTATCGACAGAGATGAACTTTTAAAATATAAAATAAAAAACAAAAATGATTCTATATGTCTCCCTATGACTTTTGATTACAACAATAAAAGCAAAGAAATTAAAAAATGTATCAAAAAACATTGGCATATTTTAGAACAAGATGAAAAACTCAAAGAAATTATTCCAAACAAGTCAAACATAGTTTTTAGAGGAGCTCCTAATTTTAAATCTATCTTAACTACTAATTTTACCAAAAAAATCCAAAATACAAATTCAATATCTTTTTTTCCTCAAGCTAAAGGTTTTTATAAGTGTAAAACGTGTATTGTGTGTAAAACTACCGATTCCACTCTACCATCTAAAATTACTGATTTTACTTCCAATAGAACGAGAACTACCTATCAAATTAAAGAATTTATAAGTTGTAACACCAAAAATGTGATTTATTTGCTTGAATGCCCTTGTGGCTTCCAGTATGTTGGAATGACCACAAGGTGCTTGAAAATAAGGATAAGCGAACATTGTAGAAACATTAAAAATGGATACTTAAATCATTCTGTATCCAAACATTTTCTAAATCACAATAAAGACCCTAAATTATTAAAATGTATGGGAATCAAAAAATGTACAATACCATGGAGAGGAGGCGATATTAAGAATATTTTAGGTAAAGTGGAAATGGCATGGGTCTATAAGCTACAAACCCTTACACCACAAGGCCTTAATGCAGATTTTGATTTGCATAACTTTTTATAACTTACATTTTTTACTTATTAGCATTTTTTTATATTTTTCTTATAACCATTAATATTTTTCTTATATACATTTAAATTTTTATTTTTCTTATATACATTTAAATTTTTATTTTTAACTATATATTTATTTTCATCCATCTAATATATTAATATCTGCTCCTATCCATTCATTTTACTGTGTCCTCAATTTATTTTATTGTGTCCCTTATTATGTGTTTTTAACATGCAACATTTGTGTGTAAATTATTTTATAACTATTTGATATGCATATCATGTATTGATACAACCCTTATATATACATGCAAATACCTAACTTATTGGTCTTATGTAAAACACAATGTCTGTTTTTTATAACTTTAAAATAACCTAAATCTGTGTATACTTTTAAATTAAATAAATTCTGAAGGTGAACGGCTGACTAATGATGCTCCTGTCAGCCGCTCATTATTTCTGGCAGTGACCGGCAGAAACGAAACTTCATTAACCAAGAGCCTTTGCTCTTTTCTGCCGGTCACGTGCCCCGGCGTCTTTCGCCGCCCACAGATACCAAGCCGCTCAGTGATCCCAGCAGTGACCGGCATCCACTACCCATGAGCCCTCGCTCGCCCCTGCCAGTCACGTGCTGCGGCGTCATACTCCCGACCAATGAGACAGCCACTAGAGGATTTGGAGGCTGGATTAACCCATTTATAAACATAGCAGTTTCTCTGAGACTGCTATGTTTATAAAAAAGGGGTTAATCCTAGAAAGACTGGCACCCAGACCACTTCATTAAGCTGAAGTGGTCTGGGTGCCTAGAGTGGTCCTTTAAGCGTAAGACAAGCTTCTGAAGCTGTGTCCTTAAGGGGTTAAATATACACGTGTATGTAGAGTCCTTTCACTTTAAGAGCAGTTATTAAGCTTGTCTGTAAATACAGAGAATGATGCTAGAACATTAATACAATAAAATGTTGCTTGGTCACGTACTTGTTTTTTAATGATTTTTAATGTCCATGAGTTTGTAAATATAATTCCCCCATAGTACTATAGAAAGCCGATTGCTGTGTATAGGCTGCCATGACGACATAGCGGTATCCCGCGTTACCATGGTAACGGAATGAACAGCTACACGTCATCAAGGCCATCAGGGGGTGGAGCACGTTCATGCATGCGTGGTGCACACAGGGAGACACCGGGAGTGATGCATGACAGGTGGGAAGAGAGAGAGAGACTTAAAGAATTCCATGTTTAAAATGGAATGAGAAAAAATTTGATTCTTTGTTGAACTAATCTGCATATGCCCACCCAGAATCCTTTGCGGTAGTAATATCGCTGCAAATTTGTGATTTCTGTGGGAAAAGCAAGCCTTATGGTTTGACTGGTGTGCAGATTTTTGTTTAACTTTGTATTGACTATTTATATATATATATATATATATGTTAAGGCAGAGCCTGTAGTTGCGGGAGGGGAATTTACCTGCCTATTTATACCCAGACTTACCTCCACTCAGGGCTGACACCGATCCAGACTACTTTGCGACCACTTCCGGTCTGCCTCAGCATTGCTCCCACCGGGAACGAAGTACCACACAGACCTAATCCTGGGAGACTACCACCCTTCACCCGCAGCCAACATCCCGACCGCAATCTATCTGCCGCATTCCGCCCCCGCTTTACGGCGTTACATTCGTGCCGTGAGTTCCAACGGTAACGTGAGTATGAAACTGCCGCAGTCCGCTCTCACTGCTGCTTTACGGCGTCGCAATAGTACCGCAAGTCACAACGGCATATTGAGTACCCTCGGTTCAGCGCAACTCTTCCGGGCAACCTCCCCGGTCCAGGCCACCTTTCAAGACACATCTCCCGCTGTGCCCCTTTCCACAGCCACCTAACCCCCTTCAGACACACGTCATACTTACTGTCCACCGCACATAGTCACCGCCGGTATCGGTGTCCCACCAATCTCCGACCCTCCCGTAGCTTCCGGGTCCCTATATTCTGCTTCCTAGGTCCTGTTGGTTGTCCCACAGGTTGTAAGTTACCCATGCTGGGCATCATACACATAACTCATCCGGCCATCGAACGGCACTCACACTGGGACTGACCTAACTTATTTAACCACCGAATACATTCCACTCGGTCAGTCACTGCTTTACATGATTTGACCACCGTTAGCCAATTCAGCCACTCATTGCATATTTACATTCCTTGTTCTTTGCATACTGCCCCCTGACAGCCAGCCGGGCACGACAGCCTCGTCATTAGTTGTACATTGCATTATTGTGTCCCTTAGTTTACAATATGGGTTGCTATTTACTTAGTCGTGTTCAATCAAATTTACAGTGAAGTTGTATCCACACAGCAAGTTCTTTAATTAAATCCGTTACCTCATTAGCATATTCTGTGGTTTCATATAGGTATATGTCCACTTCCCAATTGGAGGGTTCCTTTAAAAAAAATAAAAAAAATAAAAAAAATTGAAAAATCCTAAACTACGCGTTAAATATCCTCCTACTAACGCGTATCGCTTGTCTATTTGCGACTTTCCTAGTTTAATGCTTTCCAAATATGCACAGTAAGGCTGCTAGGTTCACACTCACATTCGGCCACCATTTGCATGTCTGAGTTGTGGAGCCTCAGCTTTGTTAGATTCTGGTTGTACGTGGGTATGTACGACGTACAGTCCTACATAAACACGTGCATTCTTTCATGGTCGCCGGTTAGTACACTAGGTGCTTATGGAGTCATTCAATTGGTTACTCTGCAATCTCTCGACTCCCATAATATCTCACCTAATAATTGATCATTCTGTATTCACGCTTGATCTATCCACACGACACCCAGATGATAGCCTACTAAGACATACCTCAGCCCCTAATTAGTACATTAAGTTCAATTATTATTCTGCTTACTTGGGTGTGCGTATGCGGCTAGAACCACACATCTGTACAGTCAACACTGAATCCGCACTCTATATAAAATACATCCGTACTAAGTCACGTACTACCTGTATGCGGCCACCTTGCCATCCAAGTATTACTATGGGCTTGGCCTTGTACTGTTTACCTAAGTCACAGCCCTCCCTAGGCCTTCACGACTTACTCTGCACATGGCCATCAGGGTGCTTACCTCTACATCCTACTCTCTTCCCCTCCTATTTGGCATGGCATATGGAAGCCGTACGGCTTCCCTGTATTATACATGGCTCTAACATACCATGTTCAGGATACACCTTCAAGTCACACAGCCACTTCTACCCAGCGGACTGCACCCGGAGCATTACAGAGGGACTAAATCCTCTGTTTACATACATCTATCCATCCACCCCCCCCATTATGCCACTTCAGCTGTCACATTGATCATTGATATATGTTATGGGCAACCAGGTCACCTATTATTCTACGTACCAATTTGTTGCAAGTCATTCATTAATAAAGTAGCCTGGCCACAGCTTATAGACGGCCTGCCATTGCATCATACAATTTTATTTTTCTACCCCCCACTACCTCTGAGAGGTCAGCACATATTCCAGGGAACTTATACTGCCCACTCGCTGTTCTCAGGCCATTTTACGGCCCTCACTATCTCGGTTTCTTAATCGACTATAGCCACGCACAATAGATACATCCATTACGGCACGTTACACGGCTGGTCAGCTCCTACGTCAGTTACAGCCTATGAGAATTAACTACCACTATAATACGGCGGTCAACCATTACTCACGACCTCCCTCCATATGTTCCAAACAACCTCTGCAGGCTATCCTATACACCCACACTACAAATCCTCGAATGTCCAATTACACATGGCATAATCTCTACATTCTGGCACTTAGCGTTCAGTAACACCACTATGCGCAGCCTCGCTAGGCCATCACTACCTACGTTACATACGGCCCTTCACGGGCAATCATTACGACACTATTATGGCTCCTCACTTGGGCATTTACATACGACAGCGGCATCATTGGGCCCACTCAAGTCCTCGTACGACCCTCTCCACACTACGATTATGTGTACAGTCGCAGGCAATTCTTGTATATCTGATTTGCTTTCCCGACATTAAACTTAAGACATGGGTCGAACACATACTTCAGCTCCTTCGGAAATACCCCTATACGCAGCCCTCAATAGGCCGTCACTACCTACGTAACATGCGGCCCACTGTGGGTAATTCTCTATGACACTATTCCGGACCCTCACCCGGGCTATTACATACATCCGGGCCTCCTCGGACCCACTAAATTCCTCGCACGACCCTCTCTAGCTGCATTTCTATGTCCAGTCGCAGGCTTAAGGTATCTCTGACATTCACAGAGAGTCGTTGGTTAAATGACCAGAAAGCCTTTATACGCGACCCTCACTTGGCCGGCACTACCTTCGCTATATACGGCCCTCCGCGGGCAATCCACAACGACTCAGTTCCCGGCCCCTCACTCGGGTCATTACATACTACTGTCGCTTCACTTGGCTCTCTCAGTTCCCCGTAAGCCTCTCTCTCTTCACACCTAGGAGTCCAGTCACAGGCTCTTAACGAATCTCCGATATATGTATCCCTATAGTAAACCAGAGACATTGTTCAACTACCTCAGGTCCTTCAGAAATACCTCTATTCGCGGCCCTCACAGGCCACCACTACTCGAAATAGAGACGTCGCATAACACAAATTTCGGGTCCTTCGGAAATATCTCCACACACGATCTCACGGGGCCATCAATTCCTACTCCAAATTGCCACAGTGGACTAACGCATAGGAGCATTCGCGAAGCCGGGAAGTTGCTGCCTATATACCCGTCTCCGTGGCAGTCACAGAGTTTCAAGACGAAGGTACGTACTGTCTCGCCAAGCGTCGGACATTTGGGGCTGAGAGTACCCCCAAACTTAAGCAACGTTCACGGAAACACTACGCGAGCACCTCCAAATACGTGAATTACAGTCCAGTAGCAATACGCTACCCTGATGATTTCCTCTACGTGGAAGATCCCAACAGAACCCCTCAAAACATCACCGATGCCGTGGCATTATGCTCCTCATCAGGAGTCTCCCCTACCTGGCTAGGAAACAATAGGGCCTTCCAACGACCTTACCTTTTCGGTATCCTCCCGGACTCAGCAAGCAGGCTAGCCAGGTTACCTGATGATAAAGTATAACGCATTATCAATGAGTAAGAGGGTTCTCACACATGAGTAACCGCTCCCGCAAAGACCTGCAATCCCTACAGGGCTCTTACATTCACGTTTCACGCAATACAACCGGGTCGCTCAATCATACTGCGATTACCACACCTCCTACCAGGGGCTCCACACGACTATAACACCGTCTCTCTTGACTTGCATGCAAACAGACCACTGAGGTGGTGTCAGTTTCTTCCGTGTCAGAAACGGATTTCTACGTTCATCCCCCCACCAGACGCAGAATCACTGGTTACCGGTATCAACGCAGCAGGCCATTCAGTATTCACGGCCATATGCCAAGGTTGGTGGTTCCGTGACCGATGGCCCCCCGACACTACAATCTACCTGCACCACTTTCACACTATTTCGACATTTAACCCATAAGTTGCAGCAGATCCCACCCGGGGTTCCTGACGGGAAGGCAAACCATCACATAATTTCCAATAACAAAGTCGCTCGTGTAAATGTGGATAAAAGGTGTTCTCCCTCACAAGCACTCATTGAACCCATAAGGGGAATCACCTAGTTGGCGGTGTCACGTAATTTCCATTTGGTATGCATACACGTACCTGGCCGGGGTAATATCACAGCCGAAGCTCTATCTCATTCGAACTTTTAGCAACACCTCGTGGCAGTTATACACAAGATACACCCAGTTAGAGGTCCAACTCTATCCGAACCACGAAAGTAGAGTTCGGTGGTAGGGTGGATGCATTTAATTTTCTTTTGCCTCTTTCTCACAAAGAGACAAAGCTAAACACACCTATTCACACTATACGACAAATCACTCGCTACCGCATATTCATAAACTAAATGACGACCCGACTAACAGAATAAAACAGTATATATGATATAAATAAAGGACCACAGTTTTCAATCAATATGTCCCAGGTGTATAAGAGGTGAGGCCACGTTCAAAAGAAGAGTGCAAATTTTCACTAATGAACGATTCATTTAAAACCAATCCATATCTGTCATTAATAAAATATCTCCCTTGATAAAGGCGGATAGTGCCGAAACGTTGGGGGCTATTATTTGTTTGACGTCTTCACCCTCTTCTCATGTTCCTAGATAGGGTCTGTTTTCGGTATGTATTTTTTGGTTCACATTTTTATACAGGTATCATAATATTGTTTCTTTGCATCATTGCTTACACCATCCAGTTTGGATTACTTAGATCAGAATCTCTTTTTTTTTCTTTATCTCTTTTTCTTTTGTTCCAGTCATTGCTTGCATATTGGGTAGATATGTTTGAATATATTGACACTCTAAGATGTCCTTGTTGATACCTGTTATATGTGTTCCTGTACAATAAAGTGTTTTTTTGCATTTTAATTGGTTGTGCTCCTCCTTTCAGTGTTATATGATTAATAAAATATCTGTCACAATACAAATCGGAATTCAACCCACCAATTCACTTTATTATTAAACAGATTTCCTTATTTTTATTTTAAAGCAAGTTAGAAACAGTTACAGGGTTATTCATTCAAGTGAGAATTCAAGGTAAATGCACAGTAAAGTTCAAATTAAAAGGGTTACTCCAACCATTTTGGGTAAACTTTTTTTTTGCTGGTTTTATTGAACATCAAGGCTGAGAGGGGGGACCGTATCCATATTGCCCAGGGTATATTACACAGTAAATCCCCTCCTTGATGTTCAATAAAATCTGCAAAAAAAAGGTTACTCACCTTGAATCCAGCAAAGGTCCCAGCGGTGACTCTCCCCATTCCAACATCACAGGGGCCTCGCACAGTCCAGTCACACGATTCTCAAGGAGAAGCCTGTGATTGGACCGTTTCTCTAGCACATAATTCTAAAATTAAGAAAGCAAAGGTAGTGTACCTTGGTAGTCTGAGTTGTCAACTCAGAACGTCTAGATTAGTAGCAGAATTCTTGCCAGACAAAGGACTGAGCAGGTAAAAGTTAACAAAATAAATACATTTTATTGTAATTTCATATCGTGAAGGCTTCTCATGAGCCAGGTTAGGCGAAACGTGCGCTTCAGGGGTTCTTAGCATGCTACTCTTATGATTCAAGCTTAGCATATGGACCTGCGACCATGCTATTCTGTCTATCCAATTATTCAACTATCAATGATTTTTTATTTTAATTTTATTTTTACTTTGAACTTCTATTATACTACTAGAAATCATTAGCCAGGGGGACTGGAGATAGGTGCCCTCGAAGGCACAGGGGGGCTTTAACAGCAATACTAGAATAGTGCTAGCTTATCTGCAGTACGCACTGTGTGAGAGAGGTATCCTATTTATTACTGCTGGAGACTAAGACAGGATGAATAGATACTTAGGTCTTCAGTTTATTTGATAGCCTCTCAACTTTACCATTTTGTATTAATTTTGCAATAGCCCACCTCTATCCTTAGGATTTGATAACACTAAGGAACTGGTGTTTATCCTCACATTACTGTCTTTTTTCATCACTGCCAAGTTGCCTGTTTTTTCTCTATCAGTCTTGAGAAGACCAGGATTTAGATTATTATTATTAACACCTATAGGGACCTTATCTCCCCTCGAGACATTGCAGTTTCAAGCAGGCGTTATTATTTTTTATGCATGTTTACTAGGGTGATATGAAGAGGGTATACCTTGAGCCTGTCTTTCTGACATTTCACATTACAGTCGCTTGAACACTCTGCTTCACTCTGATGCTAATATTTAGGCGTTATTTATTTATTTAAAAGACTATAGCAATCATGGGCAATATCTTAGCCTAAATCAGAGACAGTACGCCTCCCAACTGCTGGCATAGCCTACTCTAGTCCTGTATTAATCGATACATACAACAAAACTATTCTAGGACTAGCAGGGACCTCGTCTATTCCAGCACTGGCAACGAACAGCAAGCTATATAGATCTCTATTATTACTGAATATTAGGGATATCATTTCAGGATACTTCAGCTTGTACTGTACACACTAGTACGTATGGTATTTGTATTAGTAGATTTGACACCGGTATGGTATCCGGTGATTCGTTACAATACCACTTAAGGGTACTATTCTAGTACCTATCTTATATTCACTTTATGTACATTAGCACTTTTGGTGTATTTTTCACGTTTGCCTTCACGATATGAAATTACAATAAAATGTATTTATTTTGTTAACTTTTACCTGTTCAGTCCTTTGTCTGGCAAGAATTCTGCTACTAATCTAGACATTTATTTGTGATTCTGAGTTGACAAATTAGACTACCCAGGTACACTACCTTTGCTTTCTTACGTTTACATTTGGGGTTACCCCCCATTCCCTTAGTGTACTTAATCATTGGCTCTAGCCCTGTTCGTTTGTCTTTAATAATTCTGAAATTAACTTTGAATTCTCACTTTAGTAAATAACCCTTTCAGTCTATGATTGCAGGCTATTGTACATTCCAGAAAATCCAAATATAATCTTTCTCTCCTTCCATCCCAAGCTTGTCAGCTCAATCCTGCAATGAAAATCAAATAAAGCATACTTTGCTACTTAATAAGTGTAGCTTAAGTGGCATCAGACAAGAGAAATAGTGTTCATTAGGAGAAGATTATATCAGAATAGTGGGGAATATGGAATAAAGGAAGGATAATATGAGGTCAGATCAGGTATATACACAGTACCTTGACTACTTTACTAACACCAGAATTATCTTGTCTTTCTCTTACATATGTGTGTGATATGCACAGCAAGTCCATTGACAACAATGGAAAGGCCAATACTGGATGGGAAAACCCAGATGCTTTTTTAAAAAATGTATAATTCTTTATTTTGGTTATGCATGAAAAAACAACAACATAATTCAACATAATACGAACAGTGCTGCTTCACAAATATGCATGTCAGACCAGGTTAAATCATAATGAGGTAAAACAGCACTAATGATCAACAAATGTAACGTTTGGTGTTGATTAATGAAAGGAGTTAAAAACTTGTGAGACAGTTTGGCATGAGAAAGTAAGCATATGCAAGGAAAATTAAGCAAAGGAAAAACATGCCAAGGCTAGTAACCCCAGGGCCCATGTAAGCACTAAACCAGTCAGAGGAGCCAAAATAACCTCTATAATAACCGCTATTTGCCCGTGGAGAGGCACCCACAGTCCCCACCTAGAGAACATTCGGTCCACACCAGCAAGACATAGTATTTAAAAGTGGGGCAGTTAGTAAACAGCAAGACAGCCACCCAGGCCTTGTCAGACAGTCTCAGTCCAGCATGATACTGCAGAGTGGGTTGTTGAGGATCGGCAGTGTGGTGGTAACAGAGTTGGAGTAGCTAGATGTAGCGAGGGTAGAGAGATCGGTCTGCGTCTCAGGCGGTCCACCAGGAACGATGATGTGTACTCCACTGTGGGGCCTCGGTGTCAATTGTTGGCACCCAGAATGGACATCTGGAGCCGCATGAGTTTCAGGTGCGGTGCACAGATTTGCGCGCCAAAGGCGCCAAGAGCCCAGGGGGGAATCTTCCTCTCCACGGAGCACCATCTTAGAAGGTAGGCGAGTTCTTAGACCGAAACAACCGACAGTTGGGCCCCACACTGGCCCACAGGGAGGGTAACAGGGCCGGCTTTGCGTGGATCAGAGGCCGGGTAGCAGGGCGGCAGCCGTCCACCCCGCTCACTGCCTGTGTAGGCCTCAATCAAGGAGACATCGTGTCTCACCTCGAGTGGCCAAAAATTGAAAGTCAGGTCTGAAGTAAGAACCAGCACCTCTGAGTGCCATGGACTGCTGTTTTTCAATACAAGGCGATGGACCAAACCACTTATATAGCCCAAAAGGCAGTCAGATTATGGGAGCCGTTTTTCCATGTGGCTGGTCAGCGTGGCTGAGAATAATGGGAATAATTGTCTACAGTATTTCCAGTGTCAAAAGATTTTGGGTTCAAACTGTAGTGGATAAGGAGGAAGGAGGATCTTCCAGTAGTTGCAGTACATAAGCTTGCATTTTTGTGTAAGGAGTAATTCAGTGGCTTCCTGTGCAATAAAGTTATCCAAGGTCCTGGTCTCAGCACAACTTCAATTGCTGCTCCAGTCTTGGAGAACATCACAGACCAGTTGTATCAGATGTCCCGTTCCACCATATAAACATATGTATCTTGTGGTCCTATCAGAATTACATTGTAGAGTTAAGTTTGCATACCTGTAGCACAAACAAGGTATTCTTCTACATCTGTACGTATCCTTAAGTGAAAGCCAGCCAAATCTGAGAAAAGTAGGTGACTATATGTACCCTAGAGTCTTCACATTTCTCACTACAAATCTGTCTTTTTTTGTTTGTCTTTATCATAGCATTCCATCTTAGTATTCTGCTGCATACACCATAATAGTGATTAACAGAGGCAAAGATCTTATCTGTCTGGTAATAATGTGCATCTTCAGTTACTATAAGCAAAAATATGAATCATTCAATGCACTAATTATTAGTTTAAAAGAACACTCCAGCACCAAAACCACTAATGTATAGTGTTGTAGTGGTTATGGTTCCACAAGTGCCTGGCACCTCCACAATGTGAGTAGTCAAACCATTTAACCCCTTAAGGACACCTGACATGTGTGACATGTCATGATTCCCTTTTATTCCAGAAGTTTGGTCCTTAAGGGGTTAATAACACTGGGGTGTTCTGGGGTCTGTTGACTTCTGGGGTCTGTCCCCCATCTCCTCTCGGTGTTCAGGAGAGTCAGAAGCTTCTATTTAGGAGCTTCCTTTAGCTCTCATGAGCCAAGGCCTACAATGCAGTGCTAGCGCATGGGATGAAAGTATCAGCTGATCACTATAAGCCAATAATCTAACCACTGCCCATCTTAGCTCTATGATAAGAGCTTCCAGCCGGGAGAAGGAGAAAAGAATGGTACCCAGACACCAGGTGAGAAGTCAAACCATTACTAAAAGGTTTGACTACTTAAAAAGGAGGTGGGCACACTCCTGGTACATAATCTCTCTACAGTGTGCTGTAGTGATTATGGTGCTTTTGAGTGTTTATTTACTGCTAGAAAACATTAACATATACATTTAGAGTTTAAAAAAAAAAAAATATTCATTATAGTTGAGTCTTTAAATTCTGAGACATTTTGTGGAAACATGATATACAAAATCTATTAAACAGAATTTAAGAGTAAACTACAGGAACTCTGCAAAGCAGACTTTTCTTTTAACCCATTAAAGGGCCACTATAGTGCCAGGAAAATATACTCTTTTTCCTGGCACTATAGTGCCCTGAGGGTGCCCCCACCCTCAGGGTCCCCCTCCCGCCGGGTTCTGGGGAGAGGAAGAGGTTAAAATCTTACCTTTCTCCAGCGCCGGGCGGGGAGCTCTCCTCCTCCTCTCCTCCACCATAGCGACGTCATAGGCTGAATGCGCATGCGCAGCAGGAGCCACGCGCGCATTCAGCCAGTTCATAGGAAAGCATTTACAACGCTTTCCTATGGACGCTGGCGTCTTCTCACTTTGATTTTCACCGTGAGAAGCACGCAAGCGCCTCTAGCGGCTGTCAAGAGACAGCCACTAGAGGCTGGATTAACCATATTATAAGCATAGCAGTTTCTCTGAAACTGCTATGTTTATTAAAAAAAGTGTTAATCCTAAATGGACATGGCACCCAGACCACTTCATTAAGCTGAAGTGGTCTGGGTGCCTATAGTGGTCCTTTAAGGACTGGACTGTTTTTGCGATGTTGTACATTTGCGACCAGGCCTCTTTTTACACTTTTGTGGTGTGTGTGTTTAGCTGTAATTTTCCGCTCTCTCATTTACTGTCCCCATACAAATTATATATTGTTTTTTTTCAGGACAAAAGGGGCTTTCTTTACATACCATTATTTATATAATCTCATGTAATTTAATTTAAAAATAAATAAATAAATATGATGAAAAATTGAAAAAATACATGTTTTTTGACTTTTACTTGAAAAATCTTTTACTCATATACAAAAGCGAATGAAAAAAGCTGCTAAATAGATTAAAAATTTTGTCCTGAGTTTAAAAATACCCAGTGTTTACATGCTTTTTGCAAGTTATAGGGCTATAGGTACAAGTAGGATATTGCGGTTTCAAAACATACATTTTTAAAATTTATCAGGTGTGACAATGTAACACTATTATCCGTCATAAATCTCTGAATAACACCCCACATGCACAGATTTTTTTTAAAGTAGACAACCCAGGGTATTTAATATGGGGTATGTCCAGTCTTTTTTAGTAGCCACTTAGTCGAAAACACTGGCCAAAGTTAGCATTCATATTTGTTTGTGTGTGAAAAAAGTAAAAAACTAAATTGAACGCTAATTTTGGCCAGTGTTTGTAACTAAGTGGCTACTAAAAAAGACTGGACATACCCCATTTGCAACACTTTGGGTTGTCTTCTTTTGCAAATGGTATGCCATAATTCTCATTCCTGGGCTACCATACGCTCTCAAAGGCAACGTAACCAACCTGGCCTTTTTCAATGTAAAAATATTTGACCCATATATTTGACCCTGTAACTTTCAAAAACGCTATAAAACCTGTACATGGGGGGTACTGTTATACTCAGGAGATTTTGCTGAACACAAATATTAGTGTTTCAAAACAGGAAAACGTATCACAACAATTATATAATCAGTAAAAATGCTGTTTGTGTGTGAAAAATGCAAAAAAAGTCACTTTCACTGACAATATCATCACTGTGATATGTTTTACTGTTTTGAATCACTAATATTTGTCTTCAGCAAACTCTCCCGAGTAAAACAGTACCCCTCATGTACAGGTTTTAGGATATCATAGAAAGTTACAGGGTAAAATATAGTGCTAGCAAATTAAATTCTCTGTACTTTCGGCCTGGGTTGGTAGGCAGGTCCCTCAAATTGCAATCAATAAAATTACTTAATTATGTAAAAATATTACATAAATACGCACGTAGAATTTAAATATATATGCATATTTATATATTTGAAGTCTACGTGTATATTTATATAATTATTTATGTAATTTTGTATATGGACATATGTATATTTCATATTATTTTTATTTATTTATATATACATAGATATATATATACAATTTCATTCTAAGTGTATTTTGATATAAATATATATATATATATTACTATCAAAATACAGTTAGAATAAAATTTCATATAGATATATATATATTTTTTGTAAAAATTTTATTATTTTTACATGTTTTTATTTAATTTAAATTACTTATTTGTATTTTATAATATTTATATACAATATATATAGTTATTATTTATATTATATATATACGTGTGTAATTTAATTATAAGTGCAGTTTTATATTAATATATGTACATATTAAAGGACCACTATAGTGCCAGGAAAACATACTCGTTTTCCTGGCACTATAGTGCCCTGAGGGTGCCCACACCCTCAGGGACCCCCTCCCGCCCGGCTCTGGAAAGGGGAAAAGGTGTTAAACTTACCTTTTTCCAGCGCTGGGCGGAGAGCTCTCCTCCTCCGATCCTCCTTCTCTCCTCCCTGTCGCCTGAATGCGCACGCGCAGCAAGAGCTGCGCGCGCATTCAGCCGGTCACATAGGAAAGCATTCATAATGCCTTTCTATGGACGTTTGCGTGCTCTCACTGTGAAAATCTCTCCTCCTCCTCTCCTCCACCATAGCGACGTCATAGGCTGAATGTGAATGCGCAGCAGGAGCCGCGCGCGCATTCAGCCAGTTCATAGGAAAGCATTTACAACGCTTTCCTATGGATGCTGGCGTCTTCTCACTTTGATTTTCACAGTGAGAAGCACGCAAGCGCCTCTAGTGGCTGTCAATGAGACAGCCAATAGAGGATTAGGGGGAAGGCTTAACCCATTCATAAACATAGCAGTTTCTCTGAACCCTAGCTGGACCTGGCACCCAGACCACTTCATTAAGCTGAAGTGGTCTGGGTGCCTAGAGTGGTCCTTTAATATAAAAATACACTTAGTATGACATTATATATATGATATATAGACATATATTATATATATATAAAATATATGTCTATATATCATGTATATATATATATATACACATATATAATTTTATTTTTTTATTAACTTTAACTTTAATATTTTTTATGATTTTACACTAGCAGGGAAACTGCCTGTCAGCACAGGCAGTCCCTCTGCAGGCAGACACATGGACACCTATTGTGACTATGTGATCACTCTGTTGAGCGATCACATGGCCACAGGGGTCTTAATCTGCCATGGGGAGACTGTCTGGGCTGCTGGCAGTCTCCTTACAACGGGAGCAACACCGGGGGAACGACGGCAATCGGGTAAGTACATTGGAGCGTTAGGACGGTTCAGGACCGTCACCGGTCGGCAACGCAAAAATGCCGACGACAGTCCTGAACCGTCCTCGGTCCTGAAGGGGTTAATCCAGCTAATTATAGAGGGAATCCCAGTGAAGGCTCGTAGATCAAGATCTTTGAGGGTTCTATGAATGTACCCTTCTGAATAAAAATGCGTGGTGCAAAGCAGCATCGAAAGAGTCCTCTCTTCTGCAGAAAAAAATACTTTCCTAAATAACCAGGATGTCAACATCTCACAAAATACAGGTGATACTCGAAAAATTAGAATAATGTGCAAAAGTTGATTTATTTCAGTAATGCAACGTAAAAGGGTAAACTAATATATGAGATAGACGCATTACATGCAAAGCAAGATAGTTCAAGCTGTGATTTGTCATAAGTGCGATGAGTATGGCTTACAGCTCATGAAAACCCCAAATCCACATCTCAGTAAATTAGAATTTTAATCTGCAATCAATAAAACAAGGAGTGTACATAGAACAATATCAGACCTCTGAAAAGTATAGGACTGCATATGGACTCAGTACCTGGTTTGGGCCCCTTTTGCAGCAATTACTGCCTCAATGCGGCGTGGCATGGAAGCTATCAGCCTGTGGCATTGCTGAGGTGTCATGGAAGACCAAGATGCTTCAATAGTGGCCTTCAACTCTTCTGCATTGTTCGGTCTCATGTCTCTCATCTTTCTCTTGGCAATGCCCCATAGATTCTCTATGGGGTTCAGGTCAGGCGAGTTTGCTGGCCAATCAAGCACGGTCATTGAACCAGGCTTTGGTGCTTTTGGCAGTGTGGGCAGGTGCCAAGTCCTGCAGGAAAATGAAGTCAGCATCCCCATAAAGCCTGTCTGTGGAATGAAGCATTAAGTGCTCCAAAATCTCCTGGGAGACGGCTGTGTTGACCCTGGACTTAATGAAGCACAGTGGAACAACACCAACAGATGACATGGCTCCCCAAATCAACACAGACTGTGGAAACTTCACACTGGACTTCAAGCATCTTGCAGTGTGCCTCTCCATTCTTCCTCCAGACTCTGGGTCCTTGGTTTCCAAATGAGATGCAAAAGTTGCTCTCATCAGAAAAGAGGACTTTGGACCACTGAGCAACAGACCAGGTCTGTTTTTCTTTAGCCCAGGTAAGACGCTTCTGACGTTGTTTGTTGTTCAGGAGAACAAGAGGAATACGACATCTGAAGTCCAGGATCCATCTGTGTGTGGTGGCTCCTGATGCACTGACTCTAGCCTCAGTCCACTCCTTGTGAAAGTCCCCAACAATTTTGAATGTCCTTTGCCTGACAATCCTCTGCAGGCTGCGGTCATCCCTGCTGCTTGTGCACATTTTTCTTCCACACTTTTTCCTTCGTC